CCCCAAAACCCCAAAACCCCAAAACCCCAAAACCCCTATCAACTCAAACAATTTCACAAATTAAAATGTCCCTAATTTCCCCTCCTACCCCCAAAACTCCCTTCTAAACCCTCCTTTCCCCTCTCCTCCTCCCATACTCCTTGGCCTTCTCCTTCACATACCTATCTCTCCACCCCATATCCCAGTACTTTCCCCCCAGCTCCTCCTGTATCTTCCCTTCAGGATACACCTTCTCAAGCCCCTTCGCCCACCTAAGCGATTTCACCAAATCCTCTACATCCTGGTTCGCTCCCTTGACCGTGTCTCTGACCAGGTCAGAGTCAGAGTCATTGTCGTCTTCTTCCGTACGGGAGATTTTGTGCTTGGATAGAAGAGATTTTGGGTCACTGAGGATTTTTTTAGTAGGGAAAATTGGGAATTCACGAAGAGATTTGGGAGATTGGGTGATTCTGGTGGTGCTGGGGATTGGGACTAGGCGGAGGTGGGGAACTGGGGGAGGGTGAACGGGGTGGAGGGGGTATTTGGAGTAGCGTTGGAAGGTGGGCGAGTCTGCAGGGGCGAGAGGGTGGAAAGGGTTTAAGTGGGGGAAGTCAGGGGTGGATTTTTGGGAAGGAGTACGGGGTTTTGAGGATTTGGTGGATTTAGTGGAGAGAGGGTCTGGAGTGGGGGAGGGAAGGGATGGGGGTAGGAAGGGGTTTTGGGTCTTGCTGAAGGCTTTTTGGAGTCGTTTTTTAGGGGTTTGGGGAGGGTTTATGGGTTTTGCTGGAGGGTTTATGGGGTGGAGTTTGGGGTAAGCTGAAAGTCTTGGGAGAATGTTGGATAGGAGATTGCCTTGGGAATCTCTACGTAACCGGAGTTTTGGTCTTGGTTCATTTCTTCTTCTTCTTAATTTTCAGAAATATTTATCTAATCATCTAATAGTTCTTATTGCTAAATTTTCTTGCTTATGTTGTGTCATTAAAATTCACCTTAATAACTCCTTTCTAATCTTTACATGTCATTTATTGAAACCCTGTCTCCCAAGCCAATTCTGCACCTAATTCCCCACCAATCTACTAATATGATAACAGATTAAGAAGATTTGAGATTTTACGAACATTTGATAGACGATATATCCTATAGATTCTAAAAATAATAATAATCTCTCCAATATTCTCCATAATTCCACTCCTAACAACTTCATCTCTATCCCTACAATACCCCCTGCAACCTCTTCCTCCCCAACCCTCCACCACAACTCCTTCTAATCCTTCCCAAAGCCCCTTTAAGTCCCTTAAAATTCTTACTTTAGAGCGGTTCTCCCCACTACAGTTCTATTCAGTTTCCTTTTTTGTGAGAGGTCTTCAGGCTTGAGGGGATTTTTATGGTTGGTGGTTTGGCAGAATCGAAGGAAGAAATGGGGGGGTGGATGGGGAGCTAGTAGGGAGATTTGGAGTTATGTATGATATTGGGTGTGTTTAGAGGAGATTTGGATTGATTAGAGGGGAGATTATGGTATTAAGAGATAGGATGAAGTGGAGTGGTGATTAATGTTAGAAATCACTTAGTTGGGAAAAATGTAATATTATGTGAAGCTTCATTCCTCTAAAATATGTCAAACCAGGAAGACTATTTTGTGTTGTAGGCAAATCTTTGGTATTTGTAAGTCTTTTTTAAATATATCAAAACAGTGATTTCGAGTCTTTTGGTCTGGTTAAACTTCTTTTGGCTCCCTAAACAGAACTTTAAATGAGTAATTCTTAGTTCGAAAATATGGAATAAGGAAAGATTTGAAGTTAAAGGAGATTATACCAGAGTAGAGCTATTTAGATATTTATGAGGCAGAGAGAGTTTTAGAACGCGAAAGAGAGCAGTTATGGCCATTAACGTATTTGAAATAAGAGCTTATAAAAGAAGAGATGAACAAGAGGTAGGGTTGGAGGTCAGATAGAGTTTGGCAATTAGCGATAAATAGATCTGTGAAATTTGTATAAATAAGCTTTGAGGAGACTTTAATAATTTGATTTTTGAAAGAATGAGTCGATCTTGAAAAGTGAGATGAAGCATTGGCATGCATTTATGATATGAGTACATTAGAATTTTACATCAAAACTCTCTTGTAAATTGAATAGAAACCATTCTTAAACTTCTTTTTCTTTACATCTCTTTGTTTCAAATCAAATTCCAAACTCTCTAAATCCATTGAAATCTCCATATCTCAGCTCCCAACCCTATAAAATTAAAAACTAACTATCTTCCAAACTCTTTTGTATCTCCTCTTCTTTCCTTCTCTCTTCCTGTAGCTTCCACTTGTGAACTATCCTCTTGTGTCTATACTCGTTGACCTTCTGCTCCACATAAAGTGCTACTCAGAATCTTATCTGAGCTCTGCGGCCTAAGTCTTCCTCAAACTTCATATCGGGGTACACCTCTCTAAAATTCTTTTCTGTTCTCAGGTCTTGAAGCAGTTGGCTTAAGTCGTTGTGGCATTTTTCGACGGCGTCCTCCACTGTTTCGATGTCGGAGTCTTGGTCATCCTCCTGAGTAAAGGTGGGAGAAGAGTTTGGCTGATTCAGGTGATTAGAGGGATCACGGAAGGTGCGTGATATGCAGTATAGGGGGAACCTCCGTGGATGGGTTGAGTTGGAGTTAGGAGTCAAGGTGATTTCAGAGGGTTTGCAAGTGGCGTAAAGGAGGTTTTGAACTTTGCTGAGAGCCTTTTTGTCACGTTTTTTGATAAGTTTCGGGTAGGTTGAAGGGTGGAGCTTTTCGGATTTTTTGATTCTGTGCTGGGGAAGATGAATAAGAGGGTTGACTTCTTTGGACTCAGCATTGTGGAAAGGTCTTGGCATAAAAGTATTGGTAAGATTGCCCCATTCTTGCTCTTGAGGAGGTCTAATTTGAAAAGTAGTGCAAGCATTGAGCCATTCTTGCTCTTGGGGAGGTCTAATTTGAAAAGTAGTACAACCATTGAACCATTCTTGATCTTTAGGTAATCTATTCTGAAAGAAGCTTTGATTCTCGATATGAGCTTGTTCTTCAATTCTTTTATTATAGCTCTGCTATCGACACTTTAAGATCTGGACTTCAATGCTTTCATAAATCCACGGGGTTTTGGGGTTTTGGGGTTTTGGGGTTTTGGGG